CCAGCTCAAACCTTTTTCAGTAACCATAAAGTGAACCAAATAAAGTTAAAATTAAATAAATTAATTAATAATAATAATAATAACTCCTTTCTACTTTAAAACTCCTTTTTTTTTTTTTTTAGAACATGACAAACACTTGCCAAACATTTCACAAATCTTAGGTACAATATTCAAAACATTTAGGCTGCGTTTACACCGGCACAAAAAAAATCATTTTTTTTGCTTACATCTGACACAGATTAGAATTTTTTGCACAAGTGTAAACAGCTGGTCGGATAATCAAGACCAATCAGCGAGTAAACGCCAGTGTTGGGGGTAAATTAAAAAGTAATGTGTTACTTTACTAGTTACTTGTAAAAAGTAATCTGATTACGTAACTCGCGTTACTTGTAATGCGTTACCCCCAACACTGCTAATAAGTGAAAATTACTTTAGATGAACATTAGCAAGTGATGAACTTTCTTCTCCTGCCTGCGTCCTATTCTTCATGCAATCCAGAATGCTTGAGTGTGAATTTACATTTCCTTCAGCCTGAGGGAATGAAAGGGTTTTTACCTTTGCCAAAAAATAACTTTATATTAAAAACAAACAAGGAAGCCTAGCCCAGATGAGAAAAATTAAAGCAAAAGTACTGTAACGCATTACTTTCCATAAAAAGTAACGCAATAAGTTACTTTTTTTAAAGAGTAACGCAATATTGTAATTATTTTTAAAAGTAACTTTCCCCAACACTGGCAGCGATGGACTCTCCGAAGCTGCTTTGGCTGGTGTTATGTGAGGAGATTAGAGTTTCTTTCTCACATTCCCTCGTGGCTTTCGTATCCTGAGAAGCAGGACCAGATTAACGCAAGACCGTGGAAATGAAGGTATGCCAAAGCCACGCAGTCAAGGGCAGTGAAAGCCTATTAGGTTTTCAAAGGAGCGGAAGGTGCTTTAGTGTTTCTGAATCAGTCTCAATCAGAGCGATTACGAGGCCTTTGGGATTTTATGAATGCTTGCTTCTGAGTCATGCAGCTCAATCACCAACAACCTCTTACTGTCATGTGTAGCTGCATGCTTTGTTCGAACATTTACAGCACTGTAGCTGCAAGGTTGTATTTTTGTTTTTTCATTGCTTGTCATCTTGACTTATATTCTTAACTTATATTCTAGATATGCACAATACACCATATCAGCTATTGGCTGATATTGTATTTCAAAATCCAATTTGGTGATATATGAATAACATCATTGATATTATTGTCACCATATTGGATTTTGACATACATATACACTGCCATTCAGAAGTTTGAGGTCAGATCTATCTATCTATCTATCTGTCTGTCTGTCTGTCTGTCTGTCAATTGGTACTTTTGTTTAGCAAGGGTGCATTAAATTGATCAAAAGTGACTGAAGTCATTAATAATGTTACAAAGTTTTCGTTTTCAAATAAATGCTGTTCTTTTGAACTTTCTATTCATCTGTGAATCCTGAGAAATAAAATGTATCACGATTTCCACAAAAATATTGTGCAGCACAACTGTTTTCAACATTGATAATAATCAGAAATGTATCTTGAGCAGCAAATCAGCATATTAGAATGATTTCTGAAGATCATGTGACACTGAAGACTGGAGTAATGATGCTGAAAATACAGCTGCGCATCACAGAAATACATTACAGTTTAACATATATTCATGTCCAAAACAGTTATTTTAAATTGTAATAATATTTCACAACTTAGCTGTTTGTCCTGTATTTTTTATCAAATAAATGCAGCCTTGGTGAGCAGAAGAGACTTTCAAAAACAAAAAGAATTACGCTACCTTTGTCCTCTTTGGAGCTTAAAACTTTTGGACCCCACTGACTCTTATGGACAGAAAACAGCTGAAATATTCAGCTAATATAATATCTTGAAGACGTAACTATTCCTTTACTGAAATTCTATAGTTCCTTTGTATCCTTTTGCTGCACCTTGATGTGGACAAAAAGAGCATCTTGTAACATCTTGTCTTTTCCATGGGTCACGTGTTGGATGGGTTTGTTCGCATATCAAATGACCAAATGAAAATCTTCCTGTCGTGAAGAAACCCATTACAGAGATGCTTAACTTTACGGCTGTTTTCATTGGGCCAGCTCAGAACAAGGACATTTTTCTCCCACTTACCCATTAATCTCCACATTTTTTGAAGGAATGAGGAAGGCAGTCCCAGCTGTGTGTAGTAAATCTGAGGAGATCTGGACAGAATGGGGATGGAAATAAGGAAAACGTCCTTTTCTGAACCCATGACTATCACATGAGCTGGTCAGCCCAGCCATTATGGTTTACTTTACAGGTCTGGGTTTAGGGATACAACCCAATTAAAACAAAAGAGTGGTTTTCTTCATCAGTCCATTGCATTCATCATTTGCCGTTCTTCAGACTGAATGTGACGGCACGTTGCACAAGGAATGCAGAAAGCAGTTTCCATATCCCTGCATGGGTTCGTGTTTTCCAGCAGAGCACACATCTGTTAAAATGAGCAACACGGATGCTTTAGCAGATCCACCTTGCTTTCACTTTGGCTTATGCTCAAGATGTTCTGCTGATCTTGCAGTACATCGGAGGATGTGCTGGAATTGCACTTCACTCATTTTGTCTATGGGCCTGTCCTTGGCCAACATCTGATAGTGTCAGCCTCCAGAGACGTGTCCTCTGCTCTGAGAATGGAGCAGTTGTGAATAACTCAGGACATCACGCTGGGATTGCGGATCCCCTCTCGCAGGGACGCTTACACGAATGTCCTCCACAGCTCAGCCGTCTCTTCCGCTAAATCTTCCCCTGTGCTTCTCTTGGCGGCTGCTGTGTTTCTAAACGAAGCGCTGAGCCGTGTGTCTGCCGCGTTTCACATGCCATGCGGCTCAGGCGCGTTTGAGACTTCACCTGCTGCATTTCAAATCACTCTTGAGTCTGTTTTAAGGATTTTTATAAAACCAATAGTTCCGGTCCTTGATTCTGATTGGCTGAGCTGCGTTCGAAGCTGTTGTAAATTACTCTACAAAGTAACATACACCTTTGTTTACGTTTGTGTTACTCGGCAACCACTTTGTTGCAACCACTGTTTTATTTTGTGAAACCTTACTACGTATATGGAATAACCGTTTTATAAAAGCAATAAGCCCCGAGAAGCCGTGGTTTACAGTGAATTTATAACCGCTAAGGGGGTTTTAGGCTTTCCGCTTCTTGGGGCTTATTGCTTTAGTCTAGTCTCTCTTTAGTCGGCCGCCAAGTCTTTTGTCAAATTTGTCAGATTATCATAAATTAATAATTTAAAATTTAGTTTGGAATTGCTTTATTACAGTTCAGTTTAATTAAAATATTTACCTTATGTAAGTATTTAATAAAAAATAATATTTTGGTACCGCGGTAGGCAAATGACGTAACCGGTGTTGCGGCTTAACACTGGTATAACCGAAAACACCATCTCTCGCAGCAAGCCTAGTGTGCCACGTGTGTCCTCGTCTGCCAGCATGTATTCGAGTTTTCTCTCCTCATGTGCCCTGCGTCTTCAAGTTCAGCACTAAAAGTGGGACACAGAGGGTCAGTTTGGGCTTCGGGATGATTTCATTCTGCAAATTTGCCACCGGGACAAAAGCACGTTCAGCCGCGGAGATAACAAGTGTGCCATCTTTAGACACACAGCAGCCTTTCACGTCCCTCAAACCCTCACGCTCCAGTCTTTCTCTCAGTCCAGTGGAAAGGGGCCCTGAACGGAGTTGTTTTGTGTGTGTTTGTGACCTGCGCTCTTCAGTGGGATGCGAGGAAACGTGAGCCCTGCTACTACAGCATATCTGAAGCAGATCGGTGGAGTAAAAACACCTGCATGCTTCATTTTATGATCAGTTTCTCAGTTTCTTGCCATTAAATGTCACTGGTTAGTAAATTTACACGTAGAAGAGATAAGTAGGTGGTTCTTGATCAAGTTAAAGCCATCCTGTGAATTTAATTAGGCTCTGTGAGACCACCATGAAATTACGGCTGGGTGATGTGGCCAAAAATATTATCACAATATTTACCCCCTTATATGAAACGATGTAAATATATATCACAATATTAATTTAGCATTGAATGGTTAAGGAAATGCTTTCCATTTGTTTGTTAGACCTTGAGAATGATTTTAAATATAACTTTTTATTCACAATTAAACTCCACCTAAAAAGATCCCTTTAATTTAGGGCTCTATGAAATCCATTTTATTTTCCCCTAAATTATGTTTGGTTTGTTTGTTTGTTTGTTTGATTTATTGATTGATTCTGGATTTAATGAGTTTGAACTGATTTCAAATGTAATACTAAAATAGGAAATGAATCATGCTTTTAAAATGTAATCAAAAAAATAATAATAATAATTTACAACAAAACATTGTATTTATTTGTATTTTTCAAATAAAATGCATGCTGTATGATATTCATTCTATTATATTATATTATATTTTTTGTTTAATAATAATAATAATAATTATTATTAGTAGTAGTAGTAGTATTATCATCATCATCATTATTAGTATTATTATTATTATTTCTTTGAAAAGTATATTTTAGTATACATTGGTAACATATTTTAGTTATAATTTCTTCAAGTTAAACCAAACTTTTATTTTGGTGGTTTGTGGTAAAGGTTTATGAGTTTCATTGTGTGTTTGACTTAGATTTTTTATTTCTTAATTTTATTTAAACTCTGTAAATCTGCTGGAGTGACTCTGAGTCGGAGCAACTCTGGAGATGAAGCTCATGTCCTCATATATTGAGACGGGCATCACATGTGTTACTACATCACTCACTCATTCACACAGAGACACACAGAACATGGAGATTTATTGCAGATTGATTTCTGCTGTGTGATCAGCTTAGATTAATCAAAATGTCCAGAGCTTATCATCATCATCATCCACATAAATTTGATTGCAATCGCAGTATGAGGTCGATGTGAAATCTTCTAACTGCTAACTAACATTCTTCCTCTGGTTTTCTCTCCCCATCAGAGGTAAGTTTGCAGTGGTGAGGAAGTGTGTGGAGAAGAGCACAGGGAAAACATATGCAGCGAAGTACATGAGGAAGAGGAGGAAGGGCCAGGATTGCAGAACGGAGATCCTTCACGAGATCGCTGTGCTGGAGCTGGCAGCGGCCTGTCCACGATTCGTCAATCTCCACCAGGTCTACGAGACGGCCAGCGAGATGGTGCTCCTTCTGGAATAGTGAGTAACTAATCAATATCGATTCTTAAAGTGCCTATTATGGGTAATGAAAGGTTCATATTTTGGTTTTTGGGAGTCCCCAACAACAGGTTGACATGCATGCAAGGTCAAAAAACACTTTCATTGTCTTATAATATGCATTTATTTTTACCTTACTTGCTCAACGACTCCCAAACGATTCGCTCAACGATTCATTTTCCCAAACCCCTCCTTTGCGTGACGCTAATCTGCGGTGATTGGTCCGATTGGATCATGCCTGTGATGCCTGATAAAGCAGCGTTTGTGAGCGCAGTGCTGCTTTGTGTACAGCGTTACCGGGGAAACCGCTATTTTTACCTCTCCAAGGGCCGGTTGCACCAGCTGGACGTACACCCGGTTGTAAGACTAGGCTGGACGTTAAATGCGCTTTAAGTCGTGCATAGAATTTATACCCGTTGCACGATCTCGGCTTAGTGCTACGTCTGAGACTAAATCTTACGCCTAGTCAGAGGTAGGTGTAAAGTGAAAAGTTATGATTTGCTCGGACATTATTCATTTTTAGGGTTCATGTCTGTTAGTTAATTATTACTGCAGATGTGAACTGTAATGTTTATGGTCTTTTCGGGCAGGATAAGCGATATCAGTCGCGAAGCTCGTGTAGACTATAGCCTACCACACTGCCGACAGTAATTGAATACAAAATATATTTATGTACAGCATGCAATAATTATGCAGTAAAATATTACATATGAACTGGGATTATTAAAAGAAACTTAACCATTTGACATCTTGCTTGGAAGGACAGTGTAAATGCTTCACGTCTTTAATTCCATTCATTATGTGTAGCGTGCCCGCCATTCTAATAATCGCAATAAGTTTTGTGCTTTGTTACTTTTAATCAGAAATAAATGATCAGCTTTCAAGTTCTTTCAAAGTCAATTTTATCCCAAAATACAAACTATAAACGTGTTTTTTTTTTTCAGCCACAGAGAGATGCCAGTAAAACGCAAAATGTCACGTAAAGTCACATTTACCTCAGGAAAGACATTCATTGTACATAAACTTGATAGTCAGCAATAAAAAATAACACTCGAGAGAAGCATTGTATTACATTTATTATATTTTACTTAACCTTTATGAAATCTGTCATGGGAATGTGCAGGGAGACTTCAGATATAAAAACGCGGACTTGTTAGGAAATGTTTATTCAATGAAATCATGGCGCAGTGGCTTCACTTGTTATGATGTCTTGAGCAATTCAGTTCTATAGGCCTGTTAGTAGTTGTAGCCATTGCGGCGTGAACGTCATCTCACTTATCTATAACTGCGGGAGAATGTGTCGGCATGTCGGCATTGTCTACGCCGGGCATAGTTGCGCCTGATCGTAGTTTCAGTTGGTGCAACAGGTGTAAATATTTATCGTAAAGCTGGACATTGCAAAGCCCAGCGTAGGGCTTACACCCAGCTTTTTTTCGTCTAGCTGGTGCAACCGGCCCCAAAAGAGGCACCTAGTGGCAATAGTTCCGGTGCTTGATTCTGATTGGCTGAGCCGTGTTCGAAGCTGTTGTAAATTACTCTACAAAGTAACATACACATTTGTTTACTTTTGTGTGTTGCTCGGCAACCTCTTTGTTGGAACCACAACTGTTTCTGAGGAACTACATTGTTTGGTGGAAGAATACTGTTTTTATTAATATCATTACACTTTATTTTGTGAAACCTAACTACGTATATGGAATAACCGTTTTATAAAAGCAATAAGATCCGCTTCGCGTCGAGCCTAACATTAGTAATTTTTAGGATTCATGTCTGTTAGTTAATTATTACTGCAGACGTGAACTGTAATGTTTTTGGTATTTTCGGGCAGGATAAGTGAATCCATCGCGAATCTTGATGTAGACTAGCTATAGCCTACAACACTGCAAACAGTAATTGAATACAAAATATATTTCTGTACAGTATGTGATAATTATGTAGTAAAATGTTACATATGAACTGGGATTATTAAAAAAAACTGAACTATTTGACACCTTGCTTGGACATTGTAAATGCTTGGAAATATTTAATTCCATTCATTATTTGTAGCGTGCCTGCCATCCAATAATCGCAATAAGTTTTGTGCTTTGTTACTTTTAATCAGAAATAAATGATCAGCTTTCAAGTTCTTTCAAAGTCAATTTTATCCCAAAATACAAACTATAAACGTGTTTTTTTTTTCAGCCACAGAGAGATGCCAGTAAAACGCAAAATGTCACGTAAAGTCACATTTACCTCAGGAAAGACATTCTGGGCGGGTAATATGGTAATGTTTCATGTTGACATCAACATGAAACGGCTTGGGATTCGTTTGAAAAAAGACTTGTTTCAATGATTCAGAGTCGACTCTTTCTTTTGAGAGACAATAACTTTATACACGGTGCACGGTCAGATCTAAAACTTTGCAGGATGTTTTCATTCACTTAGAGCTGTGTTACACACTGCATGAAAGGTCATTTTCAAAAATCCATAATAGGGTCTGAAAGACAATAGAGTCATTATTCGGATCAATTCAGTTCAGTGTTGGTTCTGGTCAGACTGGGCTGCACGATGAATCATATTTTAATCATGATCACGATTTCTGCTTCCCTTGATTTATTAAGCATAATCATCTGCGATATTTGCCCGCTGGTTATTAATCCTGAATGCACTTCATTGTAATTTGGCATTTGCGTTATCTTGCATTGGTAACAAGCAGCATTCATGGTGGCGGTTGCCAGATTTCAAGAGTTTCAATCCCCCAATTAGAACTTTTCTTTTAAATCTAGTTTTTCTGTCCAGTTGTTTACCTAATCTTCCCAACCTGACTAAACAATATTCGTAGAGTGTCTCGCATCAAATAATCATAATAAACTTAGTGTTTTAATTTTGATAAGAAACAAAGTCTGCTGTCAAATTCAAATTCAAACAATGTATTTAATGTGGCATGACAGATTGCTGTATTTGCCTCAGTTCAAACACCGATGTTGATATCAAAAGTCATTGGTTATCGAGTCTGTTAGGATCTCATTCAGTCTGTGCATTAGTGATTTTGCAAGCTTGTGAGTATAAACTGTGCCGTGCCTTACTCCGTAATCAATGGCCAGGATCACGTCAGGCTGTTAAATATTGAGGTGGAATCCCATCCTATCCAATTAAGAAAGTACATCGAGACTGAGCTCAGACCGCAGACCCGAGGATCAGCGGAGGTAAATGAGCAGGATACTGAAACCAGAGACGAACACGAGTACACGGAGAGAAAACAAGAGCGAGTGAAAACCAAAGAGCACTAATCCACCTATAAACCCCCCAGAGCGAAACTGAGCAAGCCTCAGTAAGCACTCGCTATTCCAGCAACGTTCAGCATCCACCCCCACACACACACACACACACACACACACACGCATGTGCATGCATGTGCACTGGCATATTGGGTTTCCCTTGCAGCCAAATGCTGACATAAACAGTGAACTTTGGGCTACAGGACTAGGGGTGGAACTGTTTGTGGAAAAAAATCGAACCCTACGGTTCTCCACACACGGTTTGGCACGCGCTAGGACCGTGGTTCAACTTAAATCTGACAACGCATCTGTAATATGGTTTGCTATAAATAACACGTAAAAAAAACAGGGTTCGGCTAATATAGACACACACCACAACACACACACACAGAGCAATTGTGGTAATGCATGCATGTGCACTGGCATATTGGGTTTCCCTTGCAGCCAAATGCTGACATAAACAGTGAACTTTGGGCTACAGGACTAGGGGTGGAACTGTTTGTGGAAAAAAATCGAACCCTACGGTTCTCCACACATGGTTTGGCACGCGCTAGGACTGTGGAACTGTTTGTGGAAAAAAATCGAACCCTACGGTTCTCCACACACGGTTTGGCACGCGCTAGGACCGTGGTTCAACTTAAATCTGACAACGCATCTGTAATATGGTTTGCTATAAATAACACGTAAAAAAACAGGGTTCGGCTAATATAGGAGAAACAGAAATATGTGTTTCTGTTGATGGATGCGCATTCTGGTTTCCCAATACATTACAAAAACAGTGATGAGAAAAAAAAAAAACGTGGACAAACCATTCACTCTTGTTCAATGCGAATGCCGTATGCTGGAATATGAGCATTTATTCCGTCTTCACCCAGGTGCAGATAGTGCGCGCGCACACAGGCGAGACCTGAACAGCACACGTTGATATCTGTGTTTAAGCCAAGCTCGTTTAAGCTTTGCCAGTTTAAACATTTAAGAGCCAGAAAACGCGAGCTCGCGCGCGCAGTGAGAAGATTCGTGTGTGCACTCATCCGAAGCTCGCAAACCCGCGCCTCAGAACGCACACAAATATTAAGCTCTCTCTGAAGTATTGTGTTTAAATGGACAAATTCACACAAAAATTGTCAAAATGCCCATCTTTGTAATATAGCAGACATAGCCGGCTGAACGTACTGTATCAGTGCGTTCTCTTAAAGTGACAGCACTTTCTTAATATTAATCAAACAGCAACAACAAAGAAATCACTCACTGCTCTTGAATGAATAGCTTTTGTAACTTTAATAAAGATTAATCTTTAATTTATACAGTCAAATATGCAATGCTGTTTTACATTTCATTACTTTATTCAATTTCTGTACCTGAAAACTAATGTTAGACCTACCTAAAAAACCCTGAAAATCACTTTACTCTATTCTATTTATTTGTGCTGTTGCTTGTAGTTAGATTATTCTTATTTTCTTTATATTTATTTGACAGTATAGTTTTTGCCTAAACTAAAGTTTTTGCGGTATTTATTTTCTACAATAATATTCTAATTGTTGTTTTAACGATGTGCAAGCTGACATTATCAGGTATGTCACTTGCAACAAACAAAAACACGTCTTTAAAATCCAAAGGCATTTATTGCTTCATGAAGCCTGTTAGAATATAAATAGAATGCCTTTTATAATTCAAGTTATGAAAACAAAAATATTGCTGTATGGTTATTTGTTTCTTATTAGATAT